GAGGATGAGGGGGAAGGGGAGGGGGAGGAGGACGCAGAGGATGGGGCAGGGGGTGGGGCAGGGCCCCCGTCTCCAGTGCCCAAGGTAAGGAGGTGACGGGCACAGGAGGGTCGTGAGGAGTGAGACTGTGGAGACACTGTAAAGGAAGAAAGGAGACAGGGAGCCCCAGTCAGGCACATGTCCTCCTCCCTGGGCCGTGCAGAGGGGGCCGCAGGCCAGTGCCCCGGCCACCACCCCACTCTGGCGGCACCCTGCACTTTGCACGGGACAACTCACAGATGCTCCTAATGACTCCAAACTGGAGGTACTGCGTCCTTTCAGGAGGAAACTGAGGCACAGAGCACTGCAGTATCTTCCCCAAGGACACACAGCAGGGAGAAGGGGGGGTGCAAACAGCCAATGTAGCCACTGAAGCCACTGAGCCTGTGCTCCCATGTCCTGAGAGACACACTGGCCCGCGGCCCAAGAACCCCCTGACCAGTGTCACCACAGAAGACACAAGCTAGAGAAGGGTCGCTGGGATCTGAACCTAAGACCGCTGCTCCAGCTGCCTCTTGTGGGAATCTATCCTGTTTCCTGAAGGGAACTGTGGGCGGCTGAGAAGGTGAATCTCCCTCTCGAGAGCCCAGGAAATGGCAGAGCCAGGGAGCCCTGACAGCCGGAGTCCACAACCCACGCACTTCACTCTGTGACGAGCCCCATCTGAGGGGCAACATCCGCTCAGGACTCAAAGACACCGCCAACGGGCGACAGGAACAAGCACTGTTCGCCCCTCCACGTGGGCCAGGCATCGTGCTTTCCTGCCTAACTTCATTTGTCCTCCTGAGACCCTGCTTTCTGAGGAGGACGTGGTCTCCATGCCATCAGTCCCACACACGGTGACAACGGACCTGGGCTGCACCTCCGGACACACACACTGGGGTCCAGAGGCCCCATTCAACCACCTACTACAGGGACCCTGAGATGGCAAGGGCACCAGCATGGTCATGTAGACAGTGACAGGACAGCTGGGGCTTAAGAGGGCAGTGCCAGGGGCGCCCTGGGTGGCTCAGTCGGTTGAGCGGCCGACTTCAGCTCAGGTCGTGATCTCACACTTTGTGAGTTCAAGCCCCGCCTCGGGCTCTGTGCTGACAGCTCAGAGCCTGGAGCCTGTCTTAGATTCTGTGTCTCCCTCTCTCTCTCTGCCCCTCCCCAGCTCATACTGTCTGTCAAAAATAAATAAATGTTGAAAAAAAATAAAAAAATAAAAGAGGGCAGTCCCAGAGCCATCTCTCAATCCAATCCTAGGCTCTGGCCCTCACCCGTGACGTGACCAAGGACAAGGAACCCAACCTCTGCCTGCCTTGGTTTCTTCATGTATACAGTGGGCATGCACTCATTCATTCAGTACATTTTTGCTGATCGCCTGTCTTGTGCCAAGCTGTTTCAGGTACTAGGAACAGAACAGTGAACACAACAGACAAAAGTCCCTGCCTTCAAGAAATCTCCATGAGCCACGCAGAAAAGTCTGCCAACTGCTGAGGGCTGTGGAAGAAAATAAAGCAGGGAGGACGGTGATGAGAGCATTCACACATCGCAGGGATGAGGGGACTAGGTGGGCAGCTGTGTGGAACAAACCAGACTGCGCCCGGCCCCACAAGGACTCGGTGAGCACGAGCTATTCCTACCCTGCTTATGAATTATTACCACCACCGGAAGTGTAAAACACAGACTAGAGCGGTCTGGAAATGCAAGACGGCCCCTCCTTTATGTAATCTTTATACGATATGGAATCAGGGATGAGATTTTTTCCCTAAAGTTCTTAATAACTTCCAAATGAAGAAAACCACTTCTAGTAAGAAAATAAAAACCCCAGCATCTCCCACCAAACAGCTCTTACACTCCAGACACAACTATATCACCGAAGGCCTGGCACCAAATTCCCAACGCCTTCTGTTCTTGTAAATAAAGTTTTATTAGGACACTGCCACGTCCATTTGTTTATTTATCCTGTAGGCCTTCTAATTTTAAAAGAAATGAAGAGCTTTTGGGGGGCTCCCCAAGGGCGTGGTGGGCCCTGAGTACAACGCCCCCTGAGCCGAATGGACAAGACATTTCGCAGCTATAAAAAAAGGACAAGGGAAACCGAAACGGGCACAGCGTGTGTGAGCCACGGTCGGCTGCGCAACAGTCACTTCTGCTGACCGCGCCGACCTCTCCTCTCCATCCCTCCCAACTGTGGATGCACGTGAGGGGGGGTGGGGGTGCGGAGTCTAAACCAGGGATTCCCACCGGGGTCCTGGGGGCCCGAAACCTCACCGAGGAACTGGTTAGAAATGCAAATTCCCGGGCCCCCACCCCAGACCCACTGAATCAGAGATCCTAGGAGTAGGCCCAGGGACCCGTGTATCGACAAAGTCCTCCTCCTCGTGACTCTGATACCCGCCCAAGTCTGAGAAGCTCTACGCTGCTCACAGGGCTTAACACTCAAAGAGACCTGGGCTACAGGCTCAGGGCCCAGGAGCACCACTCATCTACTGGCTGTGCCACCTTAAACAAGGGACTTCCCTTTTTCAGATTCGTCTCCTCTGGAAGAGAGAGATGCTAAGAGCCTCCCCCCACCCCACCCCCAATCCCAGGGAGACGAATTCCCAGTGCAGTTACACTGCCACGTAGCGCCCTGGACACAGAGTGCCTCACACGTGCCGGCCAGGACATCAGCGTTTGCTGTAGGTACGTCTGTAGGTACATAAAGCCTTGCAGTCTAACAGGCAGAGGCTTAAAGATTTTGTCTAAATGACAGGATCGCTACTGTTACTACCAACAACAGCTGACTCGTGCAGGACTCCGAGGCCGCCTGCTCAGCTCTGCCCTGGCCCCACATACCCGTTTTGCCTGTCCTCCAGGCCCTGAGACGGGGCAGCAGGCTAGGCACCGGCAGAGGGATGGGATCCCTGTCCCCGATTCGGACCTCGGCCACCAGCTCCAGCATGTCCTCGCTTCTGCAGGGCAGAAGGGGGTGAGTGAGCCTGAAGGAAGCTGCCAGCTCCCCCGCTAAAGGCCTCTCCCACTCCAGCTGCCCAACTACTCACTCGCCAGGCCGAAGGTCCAGGTGGCTGGGAACCCAGGTATCTGGGGGATCCAGAACGCTCACCAGCCCCGCGAGGAAGCTGTCTGCGGCCATGTCCAACACCTGGAACAGGCCGGGAGGGGTTCCAACCCGTCCCTCTCACGTGAGGGCCCACAAATCCCACTTCCCCAGCCCCTAAACCTTCAGGAACCCAGGCATCTGAGAACCCGAGAAAACGCAGAGATCCAACCAATTCCCTCATCCTGACTTGCTCCCAGCACCCAAGGGCCCGGCCCCAGGGATGATGCCCCCAACCCCTCCAACACTGCAGCTGATCAGCACCCCAACCCCAAGAGTCTGGGCCCCCAGCTCCCTGCTCTTACTCACAGTAGCCGTGTCGGTCCCCCCTGACTCCTGGGAACGGGGTTCTGACCGTGGGCTCCGGCAGCCTCTCCATCGAAGGCCGTGACACCGGGAGCCATCTGGAGAGAGATTTGCATGGGAGATTGGACACAGGGGACGAGAGACAGAGACTCTGTGGAGTCACAGGAAAGAGGAGCCTGCTCGGGCTCTTGAGGAGGGAGCCAAACTCCTGCCTGCTCTCCCTGCCTCCACCCCTCAGCTCCCACCTTGGGGCCCAGAAAGACTTCCCCAGCGCCGTTCTGAGGCGCTCTCACCCACCTGACCTCCTAGCTGCCCTCAGGATGGATTCCAGACAAGCCAGCCTGGCACGAGAGCCTTGCGGTGACACAGGTCCCATGGAGCTGTCCTGCCTCACCTCCTGCTCACACCCCAGGCCTGCCAGCCCCAAAGAACCACAGCTCGGTCCTGCAACACGCCCCTGTGCTGTGTGCCTGCTGGGTGCCTCTGCCTACCAGGCTTTCCTCTTTACCAGACAACGACTTCAGTACATCCTTGGAGACCCAATTCACCAGTCTGCCCCTCTAGGAAGCCTCCCCAGACCCCATCTCCTCCACACTAGCTTAACTGGGCCTCCTGCGCTCTCCTAGTGCCCCGGGGCCACCTCTGCGCTGTGACTGTATCTCCCCTCCACCAGACCGTGAGCCCCTCCAAGTCAGCCATGGGGTCCGACCCATCTTCGGCTCCCTGAGCCAGCACAAGGGCGGTACCCGGGAGGCCTCAGAAAGTTTTTAGGAATGCAATTAGGATAAAGAATACGGAGAGATGGGACGGAGGCTAAGAGGAACCAGAACCCATCGTACCTTTATCATTTGGCAGATCCCCCTGCAGGGAACTTCCCACAGCCTGCTGAATGGCCCGCTAGAGAAAAGGTGGAGGGTGGAGGGGGTGGAAAGAAAGGGCAGTCAGGGGACCCGTGCAAATGGTCACAAGCTCTGCTCCTGGGAGACAGCCATTCCAGACACCCCTATAACGAAACTCGAACCCTTCAGAGGAGCCAAGTGTCCAGGCCCCCAGCCCCTCCTCCCCCCAGGGCCCAGGAGCTGGGCCCTGACATCTGCATTTCCAGCCCGTCCCTCCCTTGGCCCCAGACATCTAGCAGCCTCACCAGGATAAAGGCAGAAGGAGAAAGCGTGGGGTCTCTGTCCGGCGGACCATCGCCCAGATCCTCGCCCGACTCCTCTGTCTTCCCTCGAGACTCATCTTCTTCCTCCATGGTCACCTGGTGGTTGAGGGGGTGAGAGTTTGGAGTGGAGGCAGGGGTGGGGGGTGGTGGAAGGGGCTGGAAGCAGAGGATGGACGCAAGGACCTCCAGGGCCTCCGCCACGGCTTTGACCAAGCATCCTCCTCAGCATCCTTCCGCCCTCTACCACCACACGCCAGTCCTTGGGCGAGTCCCAGGCCCTGAGCAGACGTCGCAGAGACCAGAATGGCTCTCTTCCCTTGCCTAGATTTCTACTGCTTCCTTTCTTGCAGGGAGGCCTTCTGGCCTCCTATTTCAACACTCCACTCCCCAGTCTCCACTTAAAGCTTCCCCCACAGCCAAGCTTTAAGACCTCCCTGCCTGCCCCCACGTTGGCTGATGTTTTTCCCGGTTGAGTTGGGATTTCAAATACTGTGTCCCGCAGTCCCCTAAACTCTCCTCTCCCAAACTGAGATACGTGCCAGTGTACTGAGTACACCTCAGATACCATGCAACTCCCTAAAGCGGCAACGATTCTCCTCGATGGTGAGGGACCAAAAAAAAAAAAAAAAAAAAAAAAAAAAAAGAAAAAACTGGTTTATACACAAAAAATGGAGCTACAAGAGTGATGTACAAAACCAACACCAGACCGAAAACACTACTTTCAGAAAGGCATGCGGAGGACATCCACCTATCACCAATCTGCCCATTGTGGGAGATCATGGCTAAAGCCTTCATGAGGTCACAGAAATTCTCAGATCATTCGGAGGTTGAAAGATTATCCTTCAGACTGGTGGGTGTCCCCATTAGGTCTTCAGAAAGTAGGAATACTCCAGCTGCAAGCTTCCTTAGAACCATCCAATCTGCTACTGTGAAAACACTATCCGGTCTCCAGAGTTCCCAGAAAGCTTTAAAACCCCTGAGTCTTTATGCTTCTCTGTAGACGGGCACCACAAGAGTATCTACCTCCAAGAAGGGCGGTAAGAACTAAAAGCAAAGGGACTTTCTGCTACAGAGTTAGCACAGCCCAAGCGCTCAATACAAAATAACAAAAATTAGCTTCAAGGCCCAGGTTTACCGCACATCTAGCTCCCCCATTCTCCCAGCTGCACACCTGCCAAGCAAATGCATCGGTCCTGGTCTCCTTCCTACCACAGCTTTCCAAGCTCTGCCCAAGCTCCCACAGGCAACCTCCCAGACAAGAGCCTGTGGCTCCTTCACTAACTCCCACTAACATGTCCCGCCTTGTTAAACCCCCGTGGACAGTTCCCAGCCCTGGAGCTGCTCTCCAGCACCTCTGGGAAAAGCGCATGTTACGCAGAACAGTGACTGCCACATAACAGGGGCTTTAGTCAAGACCTGCTGAGGACAGACACACAGATCCCCAAGCCCTCCGCGGTGTATGAAGACGCTCCCCTGCCCATTTAGACATGCCCCAGGCTTTGCAGATACATCCACAGTTCTTTATATCTTTTTGACATGAAAAGGTTCTGCAGACGTTGCTAGGTCCCTCTAGATCAGTGTTCCCCAAACTACAGTCTGAGAGCAGTACAGTGCTTTGCAATTAGCTTGTTATAAAAAAATAAAAGTAAATCGAACACAGTTGAAAATTCTTCATGGTGCATCACAAGTAGTACGTGGGAATATTAATTAATGGGACTTTGGCATTAAATACACATGTCAGTATGTCCTAGCTCTTAACACAAAAAATGCACTTCTTACTGTAGATCAAGGTCAAAAGAGTCTGAAAAGCATTGCACTAAATGAGTCTCAATGATCCTACAGACTTCCCCAGACTAATGTGGACTAATTCCAACTCTCTATAGCTCCAGGGCAATGCAGAATTTTTAGCAACATTTTTCATTTAAATTACATTATAAAGTGCAAGTACATTTGAGCTGGGCAAATTTTCCAATACTCTCCTTTGTCTTGTTCTCCACGCGATTACCCAGCCCCAAAAGGCATTCGAATTGCTCCAGGCATAAAGACTGTACTCCTGCAGTCACACTGAAAGCCACCTAGATGGTTCCAGGTCCTTCTAAGTGCCCCCCAGCCTCCTGTCACCCATATTAGACACTCTCAGACGTTAGAGACCCATCCAGGCCTCTCAGCACCCGTGAGTATTTGCCTCCCTCCCTTGGTGGGTACATCCCACCCCCCTGGGTGGCCCTAAAAGACTTCCTAGCCCTCCAACAGTTCTTCCAGACCCGCTACATGGCCCCAGACCCAGGTAGGTGAGCCGCATCCTCAAGGCAGCCCATGTAGACACTCCCAGTCCTAACAGACATACCCCGGGCGCTATAGATGGCTCTGCAGATACTCCTCTGCTCTTGCAGACCTCCTTCACCCTGGGACATATCTCAAGATCTCAAGATGGCCCCAGAACCCTATAAACAGACCCTAGCTTCGGGTCAGCCCGTAAAGACGATCAACAGTGTCTACAGATATGACCCAGGCCAGCTATGTGATGGAGGGCAGGCTCCAGTCTCAGTCCAGGCCCGGTGGACATCCCCAGTCCTCTCGGGGACGCCCCGTAGATGCCCCCTGGAACCCACAGACGCGTCCCGGGGCCTTGAGAAGGCCCCCCGCTCGGCGCCAGGCTCCGCCGCCGCTGCCGGGCCCGAGGCCGCCCCGCTAAGTCCGCCAGGCCCCGCGGCGTGTGGGGAGGACCCCGGGACAACTAGCGACCCGACTCCGCCCCGCCCACCCCGATAGGCCCGAGCCCCGCGGCCCAGACTGCCGCCGCCATCTTACCCCGCCGCTCGGGCTGCGGCTCCGGCCCCGGCGCGGGGCGGGGCGGGCTGGGGGGGCTCGCGAGCAGAGGGAGGAGAGGGGCGGAGCTAAAACGCCGCCGAGCTTGCCGGGACTTCAAGTACCGAGCACGGTGCCGTGAAGGCTGGTGGGAAGGCTCCGGACTCAATTTCCCAGCAACCAATGGGGCACATAGGCATGAGCGCGCGCGACGGACGCCGGGAGGCGTAGTCCGCACGTCGCCTCCGTCGCGCGGGGACAGCAAGGAGGTGAGAGGTGAAGTGGGCGGGGTTGCGGCAGCCCGCGACAAGGCCCCACGGTGCCCTGCGCGCGCGCGGAAAGAGCTGCGGAACAGGAAGTGATGTAAGACCACTCAGCCCGACCGCCGCAAGGGAATTGTAGTTCGAGGAGTGGGAAGTAGAAAAACAGCCGGACTTGCTGAGTTGCCCCGCCCACTTTCTGGGGATCCCAGAATCCCGATCTCCTAGTCCTCTCTAAATTTAGAACCAAGGAGCCTGACGTACAACCTCCTCCTCATTTAGGACGGAAAAGTCCAAATTCTGATTCCTCTCATTCAGCAGAGAAGCCTGGACTCCCTATTTCCCTCCTGCCTGGGACTTGGGAGTCTGACCACTTCTTCCTTCCAACTAGGAGTCTGGCCCTCAGGCCCTTCCTTCCTC